TGATAAGGGCTTTAGAGTAGTTTTTGATGATAAATCATGTGATGTATATCATAATTCTGACTTTGAGGTTGTGGGAACTGTAGAGTTTAAGGGGACTAAGAATGATATAGGGTTATACATGTTGAATCAATATCAATCTGAACCAGAGAGAGCTTTTACTTTAGTGAAATTGTCTAAAAATGAATTGTGGCATAAAAGACTAGGTCATTTAAGCCGTATGGGAATGAACCAACTAAAAAATGGTCTTGTAACTGGGTTAGATTTTGAAGAATGTGATCGCAGGTCATGTGTAACTTGTCTTGAAGGAAAGCAAACAGCGTTACCATTTCCTAAAAAGGGGAAAAGAGCGAAAGAAATTCTGGGGATTGTTCACTCTGATGTCCAAGGCCCGATGGAAGAACCTTCATGGGGCGGAGCCCGTTTTTGTCTGATATTTGTTGATGATTTTTCTCGTAAGACGTTTGGATATATGTTGAAATCAAAAGATCAAGTTTTTACTAAATTCAAATTATTTAAAATCATGGTAGAGAATCAAACAGGTAAAACTATCAAATGTTTAAGATCAGATAATGGGGGGGAGTATATTTCAGGTGAATTTGAAAGATTTCTGGCTGAGTGTGGAATAAGACATCAAAAGACAATAAGGTACACTCCCCAACAAAATGGAGTTGCCGAAAGGTCTAATCGCTCTAATATGGAGCGAACAAGATGTTTGTTGTTTGAGTCTAATCTTTGTAAGAAATACTGGGCGGAAGCAATGAATGTAGGAATTTATCTAAAAAATAGGTCACCTACTAAAGCGGTAGCAGGAGCCACTCCTGAAGAGGTGTGGACAGGGGAAAAAGTAGATGTTTCTCACCTCAAGATATTTGGGTGTCGTGCTCAAATGCAAGTCCCGAAACAAAAGAGGCATAAATTGGACAAAGTGTCGAAACCTATGATTTTTGTAGGGTATGATGAAGAAACAAAAGGCTATAGGTTGATTGATCCTGATTGTCCAAATCGTGTTTTTGTTGAAAGGAATGTTGAATTTTTTGAGCATGATTTTGTCAGCACAGTGGAACAATCCAAAACCAACATTGAGTCTGAACCAGTAGTGAATCAAGAAGTGAATATACAGATTCCAATTACCAAGGAATTGTATCTTCAAGATGCCAATGGAGTGGGACCAGGAGGGGCCAGTGAGGGTCACTCATATACTTTTGAATCACAAACAGAATCTGAAGATGAGGATTTAGAAGGTATGATTGATGTTGAAAAGGAATTTCGTGGTTTTGATGATCCTGAACCAAATCTCATTGGGGGAAGGTATCCAAAACGAAATAGAATATCAAAAAGAGATAGTGATTATGAATATTCTTTTCTAGCTGTAAGTCCTCATGATCCATCAAATTTGAATGATGTATACAATCGATCTGATAAATCTCTATGGGAGGAAGCCATGCGGAATGAATTAAGTTCACTTGAAAGCAATCATACATGGACATTGGTAAAAAGACCAGATGACCAAAATATTGTAAAATGTAAGTGGGTATTCAAACTTAAAAGGGGAATGAATGGATCTAAACGCTACAAAGCAAGATTGGTTGCAAAAGGCTTCACACAAGTTCCCGGCAGGGACTATGATCAAACTTATGCTCCTGTTGTTCAGCTTGCATCACTTAGATTATTGTTCGCACTTAGTGCTCAATTAGATCTCGAAATTGATCATATTGATGTTACTACGGCTTTCCTGAATGGAGATTTATCAGAAACAATTTTGATGGAACAGCCAGAAGGATTTGTGGTGAAAGGAAGTGAAAATAAAGTCTGCAAATTGAACCGTGCCATCTATGGGCTCAAACAAGCAGCAAAATGTTGGAATGATAAGATTCATGATCTTTTAATGATAATTGGATTCAAACGCTCTAATTATGATGATTGTGTGTACATGAAGCGAAATGAGAGTGGTTGTATTGTAATTGGTCTACATGTGGATGATTTTTATATTTTCTCTAATTCCAAAAGCGAGACTGGTGATTTGAAAAGTAGGCTTGCTGAAGCATTTGAAATTAAAGATCTGGGAGATGTTCAAGAATGCTTGGGGATGAGAGTTAGAAGAGACAGAACAGAGGGTACTATTAAGCTCGACCAAGGCATTTATGCCAGAGATATTTTGTCTAGATTCGGTGAGGTGAACTGTAATTCTGTCTGTACACCAATAGAAACTGGTACCAAACTGATCAAACCTGATAAGGGCTGTAATAATCCAGTTTATCAGCAAATGATTGGTGCACTAATGTATTTATCAGTAGGCACTAGGCCTGATATTTGTTTCGCAGTAAGTTATCTTAGTCAATTTAACTCTTGTAATAATGATGAACATCTGAATGCTGCTAGGAGAGTTTTGAAGTATCTCAAGGGAACACTTGATTTAGGAATAGCTTATTCAAAAGGAAATTACATTTTAGAAGGTTATGCAGATGCTGATTATGGAAGTTGTTTGCTAGATAGAAAATCCTATACAGGTTTTGTATATATATTTGCACAAGGTCCAATAAGTTGGCGGTCCCGAAAACAGAGGACAAAGACATTGGCCGATAGTACCACTTTTGCTGAATATGTTGCGATAAGTGAATGTGGAAAGGAAGGGATTGGTTTACTTGGTCTACTAAGAGAACTGTATGCTAAACAAAATGACCTGATAATATTTAATGACAATCAGGGAGCGGTCAAAGTTTGTCATGGGCAATCATCCCAAAGTAAAATTAAGCATGTTGATCTAAGATATCATCAAATCAAACGTTGGTTAAAGAAAAATATTGTTAAAGTTGAATATTTGCCTGGTGAAAAAATGATTGCAGATTTTTTGACAAAAGCTCTCTCTGGGGTCAAGCATACATTTTGTGTTACTGGGATTGGTATGAAATGAGATGTATTTTATTTATCGATAGCTTAAGTGAGGGTGTTGGAATTCATAGTTTGTAATCTATCGATAATACCTACTGTATATAATATATAATGTAATATGTAGTGTGACCATTCTCATGTTAGACACTTGTCATGTAACTATGGATTCGTTATTGATTATGTTGGTTGTTTTAATAACAGATATTTTTTTTTCCTTCGAAAGTGTGTGAATAAAAGTTATCCGAAAAGGAATCCACTGATTTATTACTCACTGCCTAACAAAAACTTCATCTACATGTTTACCAAAAAGATCTTGAACTAGTTATTGATAGAAAAAGCCAAGAAATACTGCAATGCCAATTCCATGTACACGAGAATATATTGTTGGTGAAAGAAATAATCCTCCTGCAATTACTACTGCTCAGCTTCCACAAGATTGTTTAGAAAATTTCAAGCAATCTCAACGAACAAACGTATTTTGGATACTGAGCAGACAATACAAACCAGGAAATCAATATGTTAGTTCATGGAATGTATTCAACATTATGATTTGGAATAATGTTGATGTTCAAGGCGACACGCTCACCTGATTAGGCGATTAATGGTTGCCTATAATGAAGAACCTTGCAGATTTCGGGAGGATGTAATTCAATGTTCTGCGTGGCATTAGCAAGGAAAGTAATTGTTTTTCTCCCGAGATCTACTATTGTTGTTCATTTTATTAACATTGTGTGGAAATGATTTTGAGCTTTTTGTATTTATTTTTCTAATATATTGATTTGAAAATGTTTTTCCCAGGGATCTCATCGTTTTTGAGTAGCTCTCGATAAATCAATTATTTGGAAATATTAAAAAAACATTTGTTCGTGTTTTATCAATTGATGGCTGTCAATATCAAAAATCTCTAAATGAATTTAAAAATAGAGTACAATGAGAGCTTTCACTTGAGCCCAAGAAAATTGAAATCGGATTATTAATTTCAGAGATACCATCGTTTCTATAAAGTCAACATCCGCCATTTTGTATTGGCCGCCATTTCTATTAGCTACCACTTCGAGGTGGCAATCATAGTTTTTAGAGATCCTTATACAGGGTGACATAGAAAAAAGTACATTGCATATCGCCACACAATAAAGGACACTAAAATAAGGAAAAAAAGTTCCTATGAACATGGGTCCGCAAGGCCTTCGGTTAAAAGATACGGGGTGTTGAATTTTAATGGAAAAATGTATTGAAGTAGGAAGTTGGTCTCTTTTGCTCGCGAGATCGGCCTTCTCCATGGCTGACTTGCGATCCCAGGAATGTGGGTGCTCAATGGGCCCGAAAAGGGAGGCCTAAGTGCGTCCCGGACCGCCCACACACATACATACATACATACATACATGTATTGAAGTACAAGGGCAACAATTTGAACATCTTCTAAAAACTTTAATGTTTTGTTCTAATTAATCATATTTTTCATCATACCATCAAAATGTAACTGTTGAAGTATTTATCATTGTTTTTGCAAAAGTTACTTTGGCGCTTTTTGAATAATTTGCGTGCCATGTCGGCTTTTAGATGCATTTGTACTGGAACCATTGCTTCTAGCGACTTGGACAAAGTATACCTTTCTTAAGTATAAAAGAAGGGATAACAAATTTTTTCCGTCGAAAATGACATACAGTGTATAGCAAAAAAGTAACGACCGATTAAATAGGGATGGAACCCTGTATGTAACGCCCTCTATCAGTCATCACAAAACTAAGATCATATTCGAATTCAGCATGATGAAAACCCCTGTATACCACATTTTATCCATTTCTTGCGTCTCTGGCTAAAGATATTCAAAGAAAACCCAAAAAAAAATTAAATTCAACACCCCGTATTTTTTTACCAAAGGCCTTGCGGACTCATGTTCATAGGAACTTTTTTTTTCTTATTTCAGTATCATCTATTGTGTGGCACTATGCAATGTACTTTTTTCTATGTCACCCTGTATACCTATATAACTGCCGTATGAAGGAAAATTAGTACCTTCTAATTTTACCAAAATTTTGTCTAGCCAATAGACTATAATAAGCGAACTGAAAATAATGAAGGTGATTACGATAATACTATCATTGTGTCAGGTGCCATCCAGCAGCCGACCATCGTGCGGCCGATCGGCCAGCCGCCGCAACCGGCCGATTCGACCGCCAACATGGCGCAGGCGCAGGTCGACGGCGGCGTCCAGCACCCGCTGGTGGTGAACGCCAAGACGAAGACGGCGCTGGCGAACATGCTGAGCATCAAGCTGCAGAGCGGCGGGTCTTCGGTGGGCGGAGGGGGGCAGAGAGCGGAGGCGATGGCGGAGCCGTCGGCCGCCGGGACTTTGAGGTGAGCAACCAGAAATAGTAGATTGATTTAATTGTACTACTTAACAATGTAAAAACTTCACAAACGATAAGATTTCCACAAAATTCTCAAACTCACGATATGTTTCGCTAACACAGTAGCTTCGTCAGGTGATATACTGGTACGATGAACTAAACTAACCTTGGCTTGCTTATATATCCTACTTTCCCAACCTGAAGGATTAGTTACCTGTGGACAGCTGCCATAAACCTCCATTTTCGGAAATTAGGCACAATATCCTACATTAAAATACGGTGTACCGGATTAACTTGAAAGGATTGATAGCAAATACATATTATTACTTACTAAGAAAACAAATTCAACAGTGGTGAACTATTGAGGTCTAATTGATCATTAAGTAAAATGTCAGAATTTTTTAGAGTAGTATGGAAATGAGAGAAACAAGACGGCTCCCCCCACTCTAGCACCCCCCGCACCCCCCTCAAAACTGGTTTCCCAAAACTGGTTTCCCAGAACTGGTTCTCAAAACTGGTTCTCGAAACTGGTTTTCAAAACTGGATCTCAGAACTGGTTCTCAAAACTGGTTTTCAAAACTGGTTCTCAAAACTGGTTTCCCAAAGTGGTTCTCAAACCTGGTTTTCCAAACTGGATTCATATGAAAGCAGTATGACAAAAACCAGATGAGAGTTCTATGACGGCACCCCCCACTATATGAAAAATTATTTCCCATGGAATTAATGAGTTTCATGACCACCTCAACAAAAAACGAAATGAGTCTAGAAAACGCAATTTCATGTATACATTATCAGAATGTTCATCACCTTTTTCAACTAGGATGTGTTTCGAAAATGATATATACTACTCTTTGTTCTGCGCCAAAACATCTATCCTTTCTTTATTTAGAGGTAATTTCTTTATAAACAGATGACAGTCATAATTAGTTAAGTGAAAGAATACACTGATGAATTTAGGAATTTTGTAATTCAAATTGCATTTTGAATGGGCGGGGGAACGGTAATGTCCTGTCAGGTGGCAGTGGTCTCTGACCTTGACTTCATCATCCTTGATAGTCTTATTACAAATATGACAAATCGTACTAATTTTGAAATGTAGCTTTTGTGCGTCTGTGAGAGGTATCATTTCTTTGGGATTCTTCAAATGTTTGTTATATAGTTGAATAACTCGTTCTTCTAATCTGGTGACAAATACATCTGCCGCATCAATGCCCCGATATTGAACTAATTCTGATAATGAATCATCGAAGTTACACTTTATGTAAAAGCAAAATGAGTGTGGAATATGTTCAAACGTTTTGACTGTGAATGCTTCATCACTATTGGGTTCACTATGTTCGATAGGTTTCAAAATGCTTTCAAAATCTGCGTAAATAACGAAAGGAACAGTGAGCTGTTTTTCAAAATTAACAAATTTAAGAATGTTTTCTGGGAGTTCTTCCCCAAACTTGTTCGTGGTCAAGGTTTTTGTCGGTAATTTGGTATATATGAAATTACAATCATTGCTTTCATGGAATGTTAACTCTTGTTTAGTTCTAAAAATAGAAGGCAGCCATTGCAAATAAAGCACCGCCCATTATGCTTAGATTTTTGACTCGATACTAATCGTGATAAATCTTTGATATAACAATAATGACTGTTACCGTTATCATCGGCAATCAGTAAAAGATTGACATGAGTATTTTTCTTATTCTTAGTAAAATATAATGGTCCTACTATTTCAAAGATCATTTTGCCATTTTTGAAATGCTTATCAATACCAAAAACGTTAATTGGTGTTTGGTACTTTGTACCACTTTGTACATCTCACTGTAACATGGCAACTTGTTGTTGTGGGGAAACAGTTGGAATAATAAATAAACTCAAAAAAAACCAGAAAGAATTACAATTCTTCTTCAATCATAAAATAATCATAATCATATCATCAAGTCATTCAATCAACCAAATATACAGTCCACTCACACCAAGGCATCGAACATATTGGTCTTATCGAGCAGGATCAAGAATCAACAACTTCAATCATCGATTTCAATCATCGAAAGCAACTTCGAGTTCTCCAGACGATCAGCGGTCTACGCTAGCAGCTGGGCCAAGCAACCAGACACAGCAGACGACCGCAAGCAGTTTGAAGAACAAAATCAAATCATCATATCACATCGTAAGAAGGTAGAATTCAGTATTGTTCTCTTTCCTGGGTCAGTACAATTCACAGTTTTGACATACTACCATTATTCAATATTGCAATTCATCAATAATAGTCGTATTACGTCCTATTCAAGCTACCTTCCATATTCCAAACAAAACATAACATAATATATTCAATTCATAATATAATTCAAATAATTTGTCACAATGACAGACTTGGATGACTTAATCATAAAATACAAGGCGATTAAAGGCCAATTAACAAGATTTGCGAATTTTGTCGAAAATTTTACATTTGAAGAGCAGAATAACATCTTCGAATTAGAAATTCGTGTTGAGAAAATTGAAAACTCTTTAAATGACTTAGCGTTTTTGCATACAAGTATTCAGTTAATAGACGATACAAAAGTTTCTGATGAAGAGTTTTCAATTTCTGAAACATCATTTTTTAAATGCCTAGGTATGTCCAAACGGCTGATAGCTGAAAACAAATCAAAAACAGTTAATCTAAATTCAAGCATTTCCACTTCTTCAACTAATAACACTAAATTACCCAACATTTCTCTCCCATTGTTCGACGGCGACTATAAGAAATGGACAAGCTTTAAAAACAAATTCGATTCTATTATTCATCAAGACAATAATTTATCAGATGTTCAGAAGTTACATTATTTGCAATCATGTTTGAGAGATGATGCTGGTAAAATATTGGATCAGTTGGAAGCAACAAACGAAAATTACGAAATAGCACGCGAGATTTTGAGGGAACGATTCGAAAACACTCGGATAATAGTGAATAACCATTTATCTGCCATTTTAGATTTGGATTACATTCATAAGGAATCACACTTGGCATTAAGAAATTTGCTGGATTCTCTTAACCAACATTTGAATGCATTAGCGTCATTAAAACAACCCATCGAAAGTTGGGATGCAATTTTAATTCACATCATTTCTAAAAAATTAGATAATGTCACTAAAAGAGAATGGGAATTATCTCTTGTAGGTACCCAGTTGCCGAAATATTCCGAATTCAAAGAATTCCTTACAAAAAGATGTAACACTTTAGAAGTATTAGTTCCTGTCAATTCTAATTTAAAAAATGCAAGTCAAATCAATCACGATTACAAGCCATATCAAAGATATCAAAAAACACAGTCAAATGCATCATCAGTGCCAAAATGCATATTCTGTAAAGGTCAACATAACATTTATTTTTGTGAAAATTTCTTAAGATTACCTGTTTCATCTCGAATAGTTGAAATCGATAAATTGAAATTATGTAAGAATTGTTTAAACTCTAATCACTTAGTAGACACCTGTAGAACCATGGGCAGATGTAAGAAATGCAATGAAAAACATAACACGATTTTACATCATGATCGTATTCCGACAAATTCTTTAATTGTAGCAGAAGAAACTCGTGAAGCTGAAGACATTTCGACAATTTCAGCTTATTCTGTTGGTAATGAAAATGAGTACATTCTATTACCAACGGCAATGGTTCAAGTTCTTGATGAGAGAGGATTTACACATCAAGCCAGAGCCATGCTAGATAGTGGTTCACAAAGCAATTTTATGAGTAGAGATTTATATTCGAAATTGAATTTACCAAAAACCAGTATCAAAATGCAGGTTACTGGAATTAATCAAGTTCATTCAAATGTCTCTGAAAAAACAGTTGCTGAGATCATATCGCAGAACAGTTCATTCAAGACAAAATTAGATTTTTTATTGTTGGATAAAATAACCACCAGATTGCCATCAATTTCTTTTCGTGCAGATACAATAAATATTCCTAAAAACATGACCTTGGCAGATCCAAATTTTCATAAAACAGGAAAAATCGATTTATTGTTAGGTTCGCAAGTGTTCTGGAATTTATTATGTCAAGAGCAAGTGAGGTTAGGAAAACACCAGCCTATTTTACAAAATACTCATTTGGGTTGGGTGGTTTCTGGTCCGTTCAGTCCTAAGTATTGTTCAAATTCAACATTCTGTCATTTTTCCACTGCTAATTCAGAAATTCACAATCAAATTGAAAGGTTTTGGAGAATAGAAGATTGTGCATCAACAAATTTGCAATACTCTAAAGAAGAATGTGAATGTGAAGAATATTTTGCAAAAACTGTTAAACACGACCAAAGTGGTAGACTTGTGGTTAATTTACCATTTCGGCATAATGTAACAGATTAAGGTGATTCACAGGACTTTGCTATCAAAAGATTTTACGCGTTAGAGAAAAAATTATCAAAAAACCCTAATTTAAAAAATCAGTACGTAGATTTCATGAATGAATATAAAATTTTAGGTCATATGACAAAAATTAATAATCATGAGCAAAACACACCATGTGTTTATTTACCTCATCATGGAGTGCTCAACACTGACAGTGTAACGACAAAACTGAGAGTCGTGTTCGATGCTTCAATGAAAACAACATTCAGTATTTCATTGAATGACACCCTCAAGGTAGGCATTTTTAAAAATCTTGAAAATGATATTTCCTTTAGGAATTATTTACTCAACAATTCGATCGAGTGGAAAGTTATTCCTCATCGGGCACCAAATTTTGCTGGAATATGGGAGGCAGCAATAAAATCTGCTAAATTTCATATGAAAAGAATATTATCTAAAGTACCTCTAACCTACGAAGAACTGTATACTGTACTGACTCAGGTGGAGGCAATGCTCAATTCGAGACCATTGGCACCACTTACTAGTGATCCAAATGATTTATCTGCTCTGTGTCCGAGCCACTTCCTGATTGGTGAAATGTTGACTTCTGTTCCACAAGAGGATGTAGGCGTTATACCAGAAAATCGACTCAATCACTATCAGAAGCTCCAACAGCTTGCCCAG